GAGCCCCATAGTGCCCCATAGTGCCCCATAGAGCCCCATAGTGCCCCATAATGCCCCATAGCGTCCCGCGGCGCCCCACGGCGCCCCACGGAGCCCCATAGTGCCCCACAGCGCCCCACAGAGCCCCATAGTGCCCCATAGAGCCCCATAGTGCCCCATAATGCCCCATAGCGCCCCGCGGCGCCCCACGGCGCCCCACGGAGCCCCATAGTGCCCCATAGCACCCCGCGGTGCCCCACGGCACCCCATAGAGCCCCATAGTGCCCCATAGTGCCCCGCAGCGCCCCACGGCGCCCCACGGAGCCCCATAGTGCCCCATAGCACCCCGCGGTGCCCCACGGCGCCCCATAGAGCCCCATAGTGCCCCATAGTGCCCCACGGCACCCCACGGAGCCCCATAGCACCCCATAGCACCCCACGGCGTCCCTCGGAGCCCCATAGCGCCCCATAGTGCCCCATAGCGCCCTGTGGCGCCCCATGGAGCCCCATAGCGCCCCATAGTGCCCCATAGCGCCCCACAGTGCCCCACGGAGCCCCATAGTGCCCCATAGTGCCCCATAGTACCCCGCAGCACCCCACAGAGCCCCATAGCGCCCCACGGCACCCCACGGTGCCCCACGGAGCCCCATGGTGCCCCATAGCATCCCATAGCATCCCACAGCACCTCATAGCACCCCATGATGCCCCACAGCACCCTATGGCACTCCACAGTGCCCCATGGCACTCCATAGTGCTCCATGGCACCCCATGGTGCCCCACAGCACCCCAAGGTGCCCCATGGTGCCCCATGGCACCCCCTGATGCCCCATGGCACCCCCATGGCACCCTACGGCGCCCCATGGTGCCCAACAGCCCCCCATGGACCCCCCCCGCTGCCCCTGGGTCCCTGCGGCACCACAGAGACCCCATGGCACCCCACAGCACCCAGAGAGCTCCCTGGTGCCCCAGGGACCCCAGGAGAGCACCCAGAGAGCCCCACAGCACCCAGAGAGCCCCCCCAGGGCCCCACAGAGACCCCATGGCACCCCGCAGCACCCAGAGAGCTCCCTGGTGCCCCAGGGACCCCAGGAGAGCACCCAGAGAGCCCCAGAGCCCCCAGAGAGCCCCCCCGGGCCCCACGGCCACCCCCGGCACCCCAGGGCCCCCCGCGTGGCGGCGCGGCGCGCGCCCGTGCCGGTGCTCACTGGTGACAGCCACGTGCCGGTTGGACTTGCCCTCGTCGATGACGTCCAGGATCTCCTCGGGGCTGGACACGAAGCGCTCGGTGCAGCCCTGGCGCGACGGCGGGCGTTGGGGCGGCCCCAGGGCGCCGAGGGGGCCCCCGGGGGGTCCCCAGCTGGGCGCCCCCCTCCGGGCCCCCCCTCACCTTGACGTAGGGCACGCGGTTCTTGTCCTCGTGCACCGACAGGTTGGTCTTGGTCACTGCGGGGGGCGTGGAGTGAGGGGGGGAAGGAGGTGACCCCCCCAACCCCCCCCTGCACCGGGCTCTGCAGCCCCCACTGCGCTGGGGGGCCCCCAAACCCACCCAGTGCCCCCCAATGCCCCCAGTGCCCCCCAAAGCCCCCAGTACCTTCCA